ATACTGTATACTGTATATGAATGAATGAGCTATGGTCTTCAACTTTTGATCAGCTGAAAAAATCATGTTTGAGTGTAAACGCAGTTTTCAGAAAATTCCCTGCTCAAAAGTTCTTGTCTCTTGCACTGATTTCTTCTTTTAACATTGTGAAGCTCTACTTAGAACCTTCTTAAGATCCAATAGTGCAAAATGCAAATTCTTGCACTTTTTTGACTGGTCTTAAGATTTTGATCAGGAGTTTATAACAGATGTCACAAAGTAATTCCTTGGTTTTTTTTTTTTCAAAGATGCCGAAACAAACTACACAAAAAATAAGCTTTTTCAGCTAATTAAAAAAAGAAAAAGAATTTGCAGCTAGAGAATTTGCATCATGTACGAAAAGGTTGAAAGATTAAAAATAAGATGTACAAAAATGTTGCAGTTTGTTGTAAAATAGCCAGATAATCTGAAAAGTAGCTGGAAAAGCTGAATCTAGCATAAAAACACAGAAAGAATCAATTTGTTGAAATAAGCAGCTGAAAGAAGTAGCTAAAATTCTCGTTAAAAGGAATGAATGAATTTAGCTGAAAAAGGCTAACATTAGCTAAAATACCTAAAACAATCTTAAATTGCAGAAAACAGCTGAAAAAAACATAAACACCTTAAATTAACAGAAAGAAGCTGATAGAAGCACAAAAAATAAAATAACAGAAAAGAGAAGAAAGCTGAAAATTTTAGCAATTAAAAAAGAAGAAGAAGGAAGCTAAAATTAGCACAAAAAGTTAAAAGAATCAGAACCAGAACAAAGGGTGAAAAGTGCAGGAAAGGTTGAACTATTCTGAAGGATCATATGGATACTAAAGACAGCTCTATTCATTTCCAATGAGAACAAAAACGGCTGAAAAGGTTAGATACCTCAAAAAACGGAAACATCTAAAGTCAGCCAGAATATACTGAAGGAGCTGAAAGTTTTGATTCATCGGGTTTTCTTATTATTTCTTATTTTTACTAAATCTGTCTGTTTCTGACAAACATGAACAGATGTTCTCGTTAAGACTGGGCAAAAAAAAAAACTAAATGGTCACAGCAAAATGTGTGCATTTCTCTTGTGCTTTTACAGGAACTAAAATCTTCCTGCTGAGTCTTAATGGTCCTTATCCTATTTTCCCTTTCTCTCTTTTCATACTGTTTTATTTCTTTGTTTTCTTTTACTTGTCTCTCCCCCCATCGTCTCCCACTACTGTCCATTATACTAATGGCCTCTGCTGAAAACAGAGTACACGGTGAGTGGCATCAAGGTTCCTGCACCCCTGTCATACACACACACTTTGATCCAAGACGTATTATACTTTGATCAGCTTTGGCTCTATTTGTAGTGTTATTTATTTTAAGAACAGAGTTGCATTGTAGATAATTAAAAGTAAAGAATGCAATCAATAATTTTGTGGTGGGTGGAGTACCAGAGGTGAAAAAGTATAACAGCATTGCAGAGTGGAGACACAAGTCACTAACTGAGTCCAAGTCAAGGTGGTAACTCTTTCCTCACTCCTCTTAGTTCTGACATATTTGAGGCTTCCTCRGGGTTTGGTGAAAATGGGAATCTGTCATGTAAGCAGTGTTAGCTTCCACGTCTGACCTTCTTTTTCTGTCTATTTGATTAAAAAAATCAAGAATCATTTTACAAAACATGTTTTGTTCACCCTCTCTAAAATCTTTACATTTCATTTACTACTTCAGAGTTTATTGCTATCAGAGACTATCATCAGAGACATTAACAGSTGTCTGCTTTCTGAAGAAGCAACTATGATTTGCACCAGAAGCCCRTTCACACAAAAACACAACCCTTCTCCACCACCTTGAGCTGTAAGAGGTTCAGAAACAAAACTTAACTGA